GGTAATTCTAGTCTACACACACTACAGTCAGTCACACAGAATAATTTATTTTCTGTGTATATACCAATTGTTTACAAACATATAGTAGTTATATCAAGCATATGGTATTATATGATATTACGACAAGATCTACAGGTGACATAAACAGTAAACTAATGTCAATTTTACGAGTCTGTGAAAAAAAACATGAATTAAATTTTGTAACAGTCAAATTTTCTCTATTGTCACATCACACCTAACTGTCAACGACTTTCATGGACATTTTTCTTTACAGAAATGTGATGTTTTACGCTCTGCAATATTTTATGGTTAGATCGGTTCTATTTTGAACAAATCAATATCAGCTGTTTTAACTTCAGCTGCTGCATATTATTTTTATACACAGGTAGATAACTCACAAGATGACTATATATTTGTATACACAGGTAGATAACTCACAAGATGACTATATTTGTATACAAAGGTTGATATCACACAAGATGAATATATTTGCATACACAGGTTGATATCACACAAGATGAGACTATATTTGTATACACACGTTGATATCACACAAGATGACTATATTTGTATACACAGGTTGATATCACACAAGATGAATATATTTGTATACACAGGTTGATATCACACAAGATGACTATATTTGTATACATAGGTAGATAACTCACAAGATGACTATATTTGTATACACAGGTTGATATCACACAAGATGACTATATTTGTATACACAGGTTGATATCACACAAGATAAATATATTTGTATACACAGGTTGATATCACACAAGATGAATATATTTGTATACACAGGTACATAACTCACAAGATGACTATATTTGTATACACAGGTAGATAACTCACAAGACGACTATATTTGTATATACAGGTTGATATCACACAAGATGAATATATTTGTATACACAGGTAGATAACTCACAAGATGAATATATTTGTATACACAGGTTGATATCACACAAGATGAATATATTTGTATACACTGGTAGATATCACACAAGATGAATATATTTGTATACACAGGTAGATATCACACAAGATGAATATATTTGTAAACACAGGTTGATATCACACAAGATGAATATATTTGTATACACTGGTAGATATCACACAAGATAAATATATTTGTATACACAGGTAGATATCACATAAGATGAATATATTTGTATACACAGGTAGATATCACATAAGATGAATATATTTGTATACACAGGTAGATATCATACAAGATGAATATATTTGTATGCACAGGTAGATATCACACAAGATGAATATATTTGTATACACAGGTTGATATCACACAAGATGAATATATTTGTATACACAGGTTGATAGCACACAAGATGAATGTAGTTGTATACCCAGGTAGATATCACATAAGATGAATATACATGTATTTGTATACACAGGTTGATAACTCACAAGATGAATATATTTGTATACACAGGTTGATATCACACAAGATGAATATATTTGTATACACTGGTAGATATCACACAAGATGACTATATTTGTATACACAGGTTGATATCACACAAGATGACTATATTTGTATACACAGGTAGATATCACACAAGATAAATATATTTGTATACACAGGTAGATATCACATAAGATGAATATATTTGTATACACAGGTAGATATCACATAAGATGAATATATTTGTATACACAGGTAGATATCACGTAAGATGAATATATTTGTATGCACAGGTAGATATCACACAAGATGAATATATTTGTATACACAGGTTGATATCACACAAGATGAATATATTTGTATACACAGGTTGATATCCCACAAGATGAATATATTTGTATACACAGGTTGATATCACACAAGATGAATATATTTGTATACACAGGTAGATATCACACAAGATGAATATATTTGTATACACAGGTAGATATCACACAAGATGACTATATTTGTATACACAGGTAGATATCACACAAGATGAATATATTTGTGTACACAGGTTGATATCACACAAGATGGCTATATTTGTATACACAGGTTGATAGCACACAAGATGAATATATTTGTATACACAGGTAGATATCACACAAGATGAATATATTTGTATACACAGGTTGATAGCACACAAGATGGCTAGAATTCATGCAATAAAACCAGAAGATGGCGAGACAGTTCCAGAACCAAGTACGTTCCAAAGTTTAAGAAGGTACCTTCAAAATTTTCCCAGACAATTTGAAGACCCAGAAAAGAATGCCAGGTACTTATACCTAAATGTGGTTACAAATTTTATTGTCGTATCTATACATGCATATTATCTGAGCTATCGCTGCTGTTAGATTTGGCTGCAACTAGTCATCAAATAAATTTTTCAGATAATATATATAGTTCTTAAACATGTGTCATCTAATTAAAAAACATGTCATCACTAATAGAAAGGAATGTAGGTTTTTTTCTAGAAAAAAACTGCAAAACGGAACACTGCAATTCAGTGGCGCCACCAAGTGGGGGAGATAGGGTTCTCCCTACCAGGGTATGGAGGTTTTGATAATTCTAAGTTAAAATGGAGCATTCTATGGCTTCCTTGAGGCCAAAATTACTATCAGACAGATCACAGTTGAAGACTGTGGCTACATGTAATCCCTGGTCAATCAGTATGGTTGCCAGAGAATTCTATTTGTCAAGTGACTAAATATGTTATTTGGTGACGAAGAAAACATGTCGTATTAGCCAAGGTGGTTGAAGCTAGTTTATCCTCAGTGGAAGTCTGCACAGTGATATTTTCCTAGCACACACACACAGTTCAATTCAGTGTGGTAGCAAGTTATTGCAACTTTGAAAGTATTACTGTGCTGGTAACACAATTTGTTCGAATAAATAAATAAATAATTGAATTATTATATGTTTCACATCCATTGTGATACTTTTGTGTTATATTGTAGTTTTAAAAAAGAAATAGTGTCTCATGAACAGCTGGGTAAAGAGATTGATGAATTGGAGGCTGCATTAAAACCACTGAATTCACCCATGGTATTCTGTCATAATGACCTCCTATTGGCTAACATTATCTATGATGAACAGACCAGTAAGTACAGTTTGTGTGTATCATGTGTGAAAGTAGTTATTTTCTGGATCTCATAGCTGTTCTGATGGGTTTGCCAATTTGAAAATCATTCTAATGATTTTTACCATATTTTTCTGGCCATATTATCTTTTATTTTTTATCCGTAATAAATCATCTGTTCAAATTTAACTGGTAACTCAAAATATCTCTCTTAAGGTAGCGAGAAGGTTTTGTGACGTTTTTAAATAAAACATTCTATGTCTGTTGTCTCGTTCAGAACAGTAATTTAGGTTATATATATCAAAAGACTAAGTATAGAGGTGCAAGTTCGCACAAACTGGACAGACATTGTTTACACAATTATCACGTGACATCAAAAATGGCGAACCTTGTAAAAATGACTAAGTACGCGATTGCGAGAGCACACTGCGGAATTTCCTGGTGAAATTTAAGTTATGCATTGTCCGTAATCAAGTCCATTGAAATGCGTCTCCGATAATCAAAAGACCTATTATTCCGATTTCTATGCAGGTTTGTTTTTTTGTCCCCA